CTTTAGCCACTTTGATGAATTTAGCTTTTAGCTGCTGTCTTGGTTTTAGACTTTAGCCACTTTGATGAATTTAGCTTTTAGCTACTGTTCTGGTTTTAGTCTTTAGCCACTTTGATTAATTTAGCTTTCAGCTGCTTTTCTGGTTTTAGTATTTAGCCACTTTGATGAATTTAGCTTTTAGCTCCTGTTATTTTAATATTTAACCACTCTACTGTTCTGGTTTTAGTCTTTAGCCACTTTGCTGAATTTAGCTTTTAGCGGCTATTTTGGTTTTAGTCTTTAGCCACTTTGATTAACTTAGCTTTTAGCTGCTGTTCTGGTTTTAGTCTTTAGCCACTTTGATTAACTTAGCTTTTAGCTGCTGTTCTGGTTTTAGTCTTTAGCCACTTTGCTGAACTTAACTTTTGGCCACTGTTTAGATAATGTTTGCATTTAAAAACAGTTTTGCTAATTTTAGCTTATTATTGCTTTTTGTGTGTTTTAGCTACTGTTCTGGTTTTAGACTTTAGCTACTGTTCTGCTAAATTTAGCTTTTAGCAACTGTTATAAATCCTTTAGCTTTAACTAATTTTCTGGTTTTACTCTTTAGCCACTGTGCTGCTAAATTTAGCTTTTAGCCAAGGTTATGAGTGTTAGCTTCTAGCTGATGTTCTGCTCATTTGAGATTTTTACTGCTTTGTTCAGTTAATATTTTTGTTCTGATCGTTTTAACTTGAACAAATCAGTCTCAGCTTCTTTTAGCTACTTTCAGCCGTTGTCCTGCGGGAAAGTTTAGACTTTTTTCCCCTAAAACCATCTTTTCATTTCGTCATTTTAACGTATTTTAAACACGACACCGTTTCTAAATTTCATGCATGGTTTTATAACAGRCATCAGCTGTTTCTAACTGTAAACAGCTGAAATATCAGGGTCGACTTTACAATCCAGTCGACATGTTCAATTTCTAGCAGCCGAAGCCGTGAGGCTGCGGATAAACGAACGAGGTCACGTTTCCGTCAGAACTTTGCAGATCTGAGATGAGAAATGAAACTCTGCTGAACCTGGCTCCGCCTCTTCCTCTGCAGGTGTGACGGCTGAACTGGAAGTGGAACGTCTGAACGGTAAATCAAAGCTGCARACTCTTTTCTGTTCCACACGGTGGGATGAACTCTCACTTTATGGGGAATAATGTGGATTATACATTCTGAGAAAGGCTCGGTGTAAATATTTATTATTTATTTGTGATGAAAAACCTGATTTTAACGCTTTTATTTTGACGTATTTCCTGTTTATTCAATGGAAAAAACTGTTAGAGAAAATAAATCATGTGAACTAAAGAAAGACCATTTTCAGTGAAAACTTGTGTGCATGTGTGTTTGTTTTTAATGTGCGTGCACGTTTGTGTGGGTTTGTGTGTGCGTGTGTGTGTGTGTGCATGTGTGTGTGTAATATATATTTTATAAATCTGCTATATTAAAGCCTTCTCACAGCTGAAACCGTGTGTTTCAGGTCTTCACCACAGTGTTGTTCCTGCAGCGGTGGCGGTTGCTGTAATAATCTTCGCTCTGCTGGCGGCGGTGTTCTGGTTCCTGTTCAGGAGGAGCCCGGCCCGTTTTCGGGGTCTCCCCACGCTGCCCGGCGCTTACTACAGACAAACGGACTCTCAGGCCACGGAGTCGGACGGAAACGTTCTGATCACAGACCTGGAGACTCACTCAGGAGAATAACAGCAGAGTTTTAGTCCAGGTCTGACTCTGAACGTGTCGGGTACGAACGCCTCGCCGCGCCTTGAAGCGGCGCCGGCGGAGGTGCTGACATCATCGCTGCGTACAGGAGATGGTTTGTTTTTTAACTCCTGATGAAGCAGGAAGTGGAAGGGTTTAAATAAAAATATTGAAGAAGGGACTCTAAAAACATTTACACTTAAATTAAAATCTCAAAACATGAAGTTTGAACAAAGTTTAAATGTTTATTTTGATGAAAAATAAAAGGAAGTAATTTTGTAAATTCGATTATGTAGCTGCTGCATCTGTACATACAGCAGTGGCGCCCCAAGGGGTGGCCCTGGCTGCCTCTGGAAACGTGCCGGTCCCCCCAGCGGTTTTCCCATTAAAACATCATTCAGTTCACAAAAAACATAAATTCATCTTCTTTAATCAAGTCATAAATGTAAAACTATAAATAAATACAGATTTAGAGTAAATAAATAAATAAATCCTAATTTAAATATATATACATGCATATATGTTGCTGCTGCTCACCAATGAGGAAGAGTTCTCCTGGCCTCCTGAGGGGGGCGGTAATGTTTCCTAACAGGCAGTGCTTAAGTTTACGGTACGGTGTTAGCAAAATTATGAACTCATATCTTATTTACAACATGATAGAGTTTCTGAAGTCCTGTTATGGATTTTAGTTTTGGTGCCCCCCACCCCCCACTCCCACCGGGTGCCACTGGGTACAGAAACGTTTCAGTATTATTTTGTGTTTTGGTTTTGTGTTGTTTACATTCTGTTTGTTGTACAGTTTTATTGGCATTTAAATAATAAAATTGTGGTCAAACAAAACAGCTGAACTTCTGTTTGTAATTAGATGTTTTCCCCCACGTAGCAAAACATGTCTGGCCCAGTTCTGGCCCACTTAATACACCAACAATAAACACAAATACAATGATGTTTCTGTGGTGGCCCATATGTGATCCACGTATCAGCCAGCATGGCAAAAACCAAACCACATTGGAGACAGATGTGTCATTGACGGATCTGGGCCATATAAATCAAACACAACTGGGCCAGATGTGGCATTGACAGATTTGGGCCACTTAAACCAAACCACCACTGGGCCATTTGTGGCATTGACAGATTTGGGTCACGTAAACCAAACCACAACTGGGCCAGTTGTGGCATTGACAGATTTGGGTCACGTAAACCAAACCACAACTGGGCCATTTGTGGCATTGACAGATTTGGGTCACGTAAACCAAACTACAACTGGGCCAGTTGTGGCATTGACAGATTTGGGCCACTTAAACCAAACCACAACCGGGCCAGTTGTGGTATTGACGTATTTGGGCCACTTAAACCAAACTACAACCCGGCCAGTTGTGGTATTGATGTATTTGGGCCACTTAAACCAAACTACAACCCGGCCAGTTGTGGAATTGGCAGATTTGGACCACATAAATCAAACCACAACTGGGCCATTTGTGGCATTGACAGATTTGGGTGGCATTGACAGATTTGGGTCACGTAAACCAAACTACAACCGGGCCAGTTGTGGAAATGGCAGATTTGGGCCACTTAAACCAAACCACAACCGGGCCAGTTGTGGCATTGACATATTTGGGCCACTTAAACCAAACTACAACCCGGCCAATTGTGGAATTGGCAGATTTGGACCACATAAATCAAACCACAACTGGGCCATTTGTGGCATTGACAGATTTGGGTGGCATTGACAGATTTGGGTCACGTAAACCAAACCACAACCGGGCCAGTTGGGGCATTGACAGATTTGGGCCACTTAAACCAAACTACAACCCGGCCAGTTGTGGCATTGGCAGATTTGGGCCACATAAACCAAAC